GTGAATCAAGTGTGACAGCTGACTTAAGCTTTTCCCACTCTCTTCACATTCAAGAACTTTCTCTCCTGTATGAATTATCTGATGCTTAATGAGATTTACTCTTTTTTTTTTTGAGTTGGAATCTCACTCTGTTGCCCAGACTGGAGTGCAGTGACACACGAACATTCCAATGTCGACCTGCTGGGCTCTGGTGATCTTTCTGCCTTAGCCTTCCAAGTAGCTGGAACTACAGGCGCATGCTACCATGCCTGGCTATTTATTTATTTATTTATTTATGTATTAATTATAGAGACAAGGCCTTGCCAAGTTGTCCAGGCTGGTCTCGAACCCACGGGCTCAGGCAATCCATTCCCCTCAGCCTCCCAAAGTGCTGGGATTACAGGCTGAGCCACTGAGCCCAGCCGAGATTTGCTTTCTGATTAAAGACTTTCCCATACTCATTACATTTATAGTGCTTTTCTCTAGTATGTATCAGTTGGTGTTTAACAAGGTTTGAAGTCCCACTAGTGTCTTTGCCACATTCATTGCACCCATAGGACTTTTCTCCAGTGTGAATTCTCTGATGTTTAACAAGCTTTGCTATCTCCCTAAAGTCCTTGCCACATTCATTACACATGTACAGTTTCTCTCTGCAATGAACTTTGTGATGTTGTGTAAGGATAGAGTCTGATTACAATTTTCCCCATATTTAATACATACATAGGGCTTCTCTCTAGCATGAATTTTCTGATGCCAAGTAAGTTGTGAGTTCTTGCTGAAAGACCCCACATACATGTCATCTGTGGGGCTTTGACCCACTGGGACTTGTCTGGTGTCCACTCAGACCTGACTCACATAAAAAGCCTTGACTGCCCACCTTCTATCAACTGGCTCTCTCTCCTGGCCTGTTCCTCTGAGATGCAAAAAGCTTTGTGCCCAGAGACAAACTTCTCTAGTTTACTACATTCCTGATAGCAAATTTTCTTGGGAAAACAACTTCCGCTTGGCATTTATTGTGATTTTTTTTCCCATAAATATTCTGCCCCTGTCTCCATTCCACAAGCTTGTTGAAACTCAAACATCTCTGGATTGCCTCTTGGGAACATGTCCTGAGTCATACCTTGTAATTCTTCAGAAGATTTTTTTTCCTTGGGATTGACTGTGCTTTGTCTTAACTTGAAAATTTGAAACAAATAATGGAAATTAAAAGTTTCCCTGATATTGTTCACAATAGCAAGAACATGGAACCAACCATGCTGCCCATCAAAAGAGGACTGGATTAAAAAAAATGTGGTACATATACATGATGGAATATTACGCAACCAGAAAGAAGAACAAAATCATGAACTTTGCAGCAACCTGGATGGAATTAGAGTCTATAATACTGAGTGATATTTCACAGAAACAAAGAACTGAATATCACATGTTCTCACTCATGAGTGAGGTCACTCATAAGTGACCTTGAACAACTACTGCGATACTATAAGAAAAGGATTGACTATAGCAGGAAACTGTGGAGGGGAGGGGGTCAGGTAGGTGGGATTGACAGTAGTGGAAATCTGCCTGGGGAAGGCCGGGAATACCTCATCAACAAGGGTTCCTGCACAGTGAATATTTGTATACCTAACCCTGAAATGTACCCCACAATTTTAAAATAAAAAAATTTTTAAAGTTAAAATAATAAAGTTTCCCTGTGAGTTGGGTGTGGTGGCTCATGCCTATAATCCCAGCACTTTGGGAGGCAGACGTGAGAGGGTTTTGAGACCAGCCTGGGCAACTTGGCAAGACCTCGTCCCTACAATAAATAAAATTAGCTGGGCATGGTGGCAAACCTGTGGTTCCAGCTGCTTGGAAGGCAGAGGCAGAAGGATGACCTGAGCCCAGCAGGTTGAAGCTGGCTCAGCCTGTAATCCCGTGTTTTGGGAGGCTGAGGTGAGTGGATTGCCTGAGCCCATGGGTTCAAGACCTGCCTGGGCAACTTGGTGAGACCTCATCTCTACAATAAATAAAAAATTAGCCGGGTGTGGTAGCACGTACCTGTAGTTGCAGCTACTTGGAAGGCTGAGGCGGAAGGATCGCTGGAGCCCAGCAGGTCGAGGATGCAGTGGCCGGGAGCATTCCACTGCACTCCAGTCTGGGCGACAGAGTGAGACTCCAACTCAAAAAAAAAAAAAAAAAAAAAGAGAAAGAAAAGAAAGGAAAAAGGAAGTAGTCATTTTAATGATTGAGCCAAAAAAACAAATTTCTATGCAACTTGTATGTTTCAGCCTGTTAATGACTTTATGCCATATTATCTTATGTCATGGTTACTCGTGTGCATCCATCTCTAAACTGTGAGATTCTGAAGACAGATGCTTTCTTACACTAGTCTTTGTAACACCTTGATGGCACTGTGCACAAAACAGGGACTGACAACTAAAGAACTAGGAATTCCTTTCAACAGTGTTGCCAGGTGCCAAGGATCTGGTGATGAATGAAGTCCCTGCCACCTGGAGTTGACATTCTAATATTGGAGGCCAACAATATAATAGAACATTGGGACAGGATGGAGAATCACTCCCCAAACTAGAATGTTTTCCTCAAACCAAAATGCAGACTCCTTGAAGACAAGAACGTGGTTTTGTTTACTTTTTTTTTTTTTTTTTTTTTAAGTCAGAGTTTCACTCTGTTGCCCAGGCACACTCATGGCTCATCATAGCCTTGACTTCCTGGGCTCAAGTGATTCCTCTGCCTCAGGCTCCTGAGTAGCTGGGACTACAAGTGCATGCCACTACACCGGCTAACTTACTTTTTTTTTTTGTAGAGATGAGGTCTCACTGTGTTGCCCAGGCTGGTTACCAACTTCTGGGCTCTAGCAATCCTCATGCCTTGGCCTCCCAAAGTGCTGGGTTTACAGGCATGAGCCACTGCACCCAGTTCAGTTTTGCTTACTTTCTTTTTTAATAGGTGAGGTACAATTCAAGATTAGGTATACAAGTGGTCATTGAACAGGTAAAGTTTGGGCCTTCCTTTGGTCCCCACTTTGCCTTGTTTGAGATCAGATACCCTTATTGATATTGTGTCCCCCCCACCCCCACCCCAGCAGTATCCTGCTACTCCAGTCCCTTTCTTAGAGTATTTTGGTAAGTTTTGCTTACTCTTAAGCCCAGCACCTAGCAGAAGCCCTGCACACAGGCAGCAGGCAGCACATAATACATGTTTGTGGAATGAATGAGTGAAAGGCAAAAGGTGGTGCTATTATTAAGGGTATGCTCCAATGTTAGAAAAGTAGGGTTCTGTTTATACATTGACACATAAGTGCTAATCAGTTCATCAGAGAAGACTGGTCATCAGTGGAAAATGATTGCCCCACCTGAGTGACAGCACATGGTATGGTACAGTGGACTTGCATTTTCCCTTAGAGGAATGGTGGGGGACAGGAAGGAAGCTGAAAAGGACAATTGGGGGCCACCCGACTGGCCATGCCAAACTTCCACTTACTACTCATAGATCACACAGCCTCTCCAGAGATACTTACCTCCTCACTCATTTTGCAGGGAGGCCCTGGCAAAGCCATGACCCACAGCATTTCCCCCTGCTCTAGGTAAGAGATAGCCCTGGGTCTGGATACTGAAAAATCTGTTAATCAAGAAGATAATGGTCAGTGCTGGACAACCAGAGCTGTCCCTGGCAGAAGACCACAGAGGCTGAGAGAGGAAAGAGGTGCTTCAGAGGAGGTTCAGAGAGGAAAGATAATACAAGATGAAACCACTGGGTCCTCCCTCCTGGGATAAGGGCACCTCGACAAGGACTGGGGTATGTTTGGTCTGTAAGTGTCGAGAGAGGCCAGGTGATCAGTCCCCTGAGGGTCAGGGGCAGGAACCTGAGGTTCCACCATGCCACACTCACCCAGAATCTTTAGGATATGGTAGTTCTCCAGTAGAGAGCTCTGGGGGAGGGGGGGGAGCAGGTGTTTCCCCTCTTCCTGAGTGATGTACATGGCCATCTCCTCACACATCATACTGTCCTGGAATCAGAGGCACTCACTGCCTAGAGAGCCTCAGCCAGGCCTGAGGGCAAATGTACCTTGCTGCTTAGACTGAATTTGCAGCAAGAGGATCTGCGTACATCTCCCAGTCTTCTAGGCAGATGTTTGGGAAAAGGGCTGGGGGTGGGGATGGGTAGGGGTAAGGGTAACTATGGAAATACAGAGCCCTCAAAACAGTGGGCTCTCCCTCAGACTGGCCATGCCAAACTTCAGACAGGCCTTGCACTCTGATCAGCTCAGTGGGAGGGTCAGCCACCTAGGCAGGCCTGGATCAGGGAAGGAGATTCTAATCTCAGAGTTCCAAGGGTCTGCTGGCCAAGGGACTTCCAGGCTGAGGGCAAGGAGGAGCCCTGGACAGCAACTGTTCCCTGAAGGCCAGCTCACCTGGGGCTCAGCCTCCACTGCTGGGTTTGTCCTAGAAGGAAGGGCAGATGGGAGGTGTCAGAAGGAAGGCACAGGGGAAGTGGAAGCCATCTGCCCAACAAGTTTGCCTCATCTTGAGGAGCAGCTGACCTTCCTAAATTTCCTTCACCATGAAGTGCACCCTAAACCAAGACCACCTCAACTGAGCCTAGTCCTGCTGGGAAGCCACCCAAATTCAAGTTCAAGGGTGATGCTGTACCTCCCTTGCTTGGATTCTTGAGAATGTGACATGATTCTATTCCCTCCTGGCAACACCATCTACCTTGTCTTCCAGTGGCGCATTGTCTTGTCCCCTCCCTGCTGCTACCTGCCCTCCCTTGCCCCCTCCACCATATGCTCTGGGAGACAGTGTTCACTTGGGCTCCTTAGCCAGCCCAGGCCCCTGGGTCCCCACTAGAGTCGTCAGCTTATCCTTCTGTCTAAAGCACCTCAAATTAGTGCCTTGCGAGAGGAGAGAGCCTCAAGAACAGGCTGCTGAGTCACACCAGAGGGGCATGAGTCCTCACAGAGTTGTTGCACCTCTCTGAGCCCGCTTCCCACCTGACATTTAAAAAACTGCACAGGGGTTTTGCAGACGCCGCCGCCTTAAGCCTTTTCCCATCAGCCATGGTCAACCCCACCATGTTCTTCGACATCGCCGTTGACGGCGAGCCCTTGGGCTGCATCTCCTTCGAGCTGTTTGCAGACAAAGTTCCAAAGACAGCAGAAAACTTTCATGTTCTGAGCACTGGAGAGAAAGGATTCGGTTATAAGGGTTCCTGCTTTCACAGAATTATTCCAGGGTTTATGTGCCAGGGTGGTGACTTTACACGCCATAATGGCACTGGCGGCAAGTCCATCTATGGGGAGAAATTTGATGAAGAGAACTTCATCTTGAAGCATACAGGTCCCAGCATCTTGTCCATGGCAAATGCTGGACCCAACACAAACGGTTCCCAGTTTTTCATCTGCACTACTAAGACTGAATGGTTGAATGGCAAGCATGTGGTTTTTGGCAAGGTGAAAGAGGGCATGAATGTTATATAAGCCACGGAGGGCTTTGCGTCCAAGAATGGCAAGACCAGCAAGAAGATTACCATTGCTGACTGTGGACAACTCTAGTAAATTTGACTTGTTTTATCTTAAAGTACCAGATCATTCCTTCTGTAGCTCAGGAGAGCACCCCTCCATCCCGTTTGCTCGCAGTATCCCTATAATCTCTGTGCTCTCGCTACAATTCTTTGGGTTCCATATTTTCCTTATTCCCTTCCACGTCTAGTTGGATTGCAGAGAAATAAAAACTAAATAACAACAGCAACAACAACAAAAAAACTGCACAGGGCAGGCTTGGTGGCTCAGCCTGTAATCCCAGTACTTTGGGAGGCTGAGGTGTGTGAATTGCCTGAGTCTGCGGGTTCAAGGCCAGGGGAAACTTGGCCAGACCTCGTCTCTACAATAAATTAAAAAAAAATTTAGTCAGGCGTGGTAGCGCGCACCTGTAGTTCCTCTACTTGGAAGGCTGAGGCGGAAGGATCGCGGGAGCCGGGGAAGTCGACGGCTGGCATGGCCGTGAGCATGCATGGCACTGCACTCCAGCCTGGGCCACAGAGTGAGACTCCAACTCAACAACAACAAAACCGCACAGGACCTACTGCGTTGTTAGGGCCCAAGGAAATGCATTCGGTGAGAGCGTTGGCTGAAGGCCACAGGTCGGCCACAGGGACTTCCACACCACCAGCACTTTCTCCTCCAGAGCAGCGGGCGCCGGGTAGCGGGAGGCGGCAGAGTGCAGACTGTGCCGCACTTTCCATTACCTCACCTGGCGGCCCCACCTCCACCTCCCCGACCCCTGCAAGTCACCGATCGCGCACTCCTCGCCACCTGTCCTCAGTCCCTCTTCTCCGTTGGTCTCGCGCTCGCAGGCGGGTTTGTGGATATACTTCCTCCCTCTCCTTCATAGCCACCCCGTCCATCCTCACGTCTCAGCTCGGTCTCAGCCCTTCCCCGTTGGAAGGAGCCTCTGCGCCGTGG